GGGACCTTGAGATTCGAGACCAGCATTAACTATCCCAGAGAACAAGGCTCTGGACTTCCAAAGCCCAATAAAATCAAACATACAAGAAAATTAATGGTTTCACCTCCCTTACCTCACTGCGAAATAACAAATCTCTTGCAGAATAGACAAAGCTCAGGGCAATTTAGAAGCTAGCTCGTGGAGATGTGATAAAACATGATTTTTTTTCCCCCTGATAAACCGGAAGATGGCAAAGAGAAAAGCAAAGTGCTGCGTTCCCGCCTTACCAAATCTGCCCCCAAATGTGAAGGGCAGTCTGTGCAAATAACTCAGAATTAGCAGGCAGCAAAATGGCAATGAAAGGCGTGGGATTATTAGCCTTAGAAAGAAACACACTGTCTTATCTGGCAAGAGATCCGTATAAGATCAGGTGTTGAGACTTTGTGTTATAACATTCGGTTTACCTGTATTGCCCCCAAACCAAAAAAAAAAAAAAACCCATTGCCGTCCGAGTTGATTCCAACTCATGGTGACCTCATGTGTTAGAGAGTAGAACTGAGCTCCATAGGGTTTCCCAGGCTGTAATCTTTACGAAAGCAGATCACTAGGACTTGCTTCCGCAGCACTGCTGGGTGGGTTCGAACAGCCAACCTTTCGGTTAGTCGCCGAGATCAAACCATTTGCGCCACCCAGAGACCTTATGGTATTCCCCCATTCTCTCCTAATTCACACTCTAGAACTTCTAAACCCCATAACAGTTTTCCTATCTGTTGCAGAAAAGGAATGGTGTTCTTTTCCAGCTAGCTGGGCACAGCAGCCCCTCCTCGCCTGCAGCAGAAGCAGTAGCCCAGCCCTGTCCACTCTTTCACTCACCCTGTTAGCACAAGGCCTGCTGCAGAGTCCTGAGCCCCAGGCAGGAGGCCGACAGGTTCTCCTGGGCCCTTATCTGGAGAAGCAGGCACTCTGTCGGGGCGGGTGACTCGGGATGCGGCTTCACCGCAGAAGCAGGAGGGGCTGAATCCCAGGGCCAGTTTACAGTCTACAAAGTGAAGTCAGGAAGAAGCACCTGGTGCTGATACATCTTTACACTGAGGGTGGGGACGCGGGCCACGCGGGCACACTTAACCCAGATTTGGAAATGCCTTTGTTTAGTTTTAATTGCCCAAAGCACATCTTCTGGTGAAAGTTAGAAATGGGCTTGTAAATTCCCCATAGGCACTGAGGATGCTTCCCCGCTCATGGCCAGCAGGGGTCACCCTCCTCCGTGCCATTGCCATCCCAGCCTCTGGAGTTGGGCCTCTAGCTAGTTAACTGACCTCCCCTCACAGAGCTCAGTAGCTGCCCCCACGTTCACACTCCTGTGTTGGCCTCTCCAATAAATGACAGTCCAACATTCAGCCATCTAGACCTGACATCAGCAAACTTTTTCTATAGACGACCAAGCTGTAAATATTTTATGCTTTGTGGGCCACAGGGTCTCTGTATCTACTTGACTCTGTCATTAATAGCACAAAAGCAGCCAGAGGTGACGTGTAAATGAATGAGCGTGACTGTGTTCCAATAAAACGATTTATGAGTCCTGAAGTTTGAATTTCATATGATTTTCACATCACGAAATAATTTGGTTTTTACCCCAACCTATTAAAAGCATAAAAATCAGTCTCAGCTCCCAGCTGTGCAGAAACAAGCCGCTGGCTGGGTTTGGCCCGCAGACTGTAGTTCTTTAACCCCTGAGGTGGGCTCTTATCTCTTCGGTGCTGGATGTCAGCGGAGTGAGTGTCTCCGTGGGACTGGGCCGAACCAGGATGGTGCTGGCTTAGAAAACAAGTCCGAAGCTGGGCCCCTTTCCTCTGACAAAACCCACACCTATGTTTTCTAACTAAGGACAAGGAAAACCTCGGGACCGGTAAGCTGGGAAGTCCCACCCGACGCGTGATCACAGAGGTCGGAAGCGGGTCTGAGAGGAACAGCACAGACAAGTGCCATACACAGTGATGATAGATGACCTGTCACAGAGAGAGTGCTCTGAGCAGGTCATGCGAAATGGTGAGGGTCCACTGGGAACGGTGCCGCCGACACTAGGGAGCAGCGTTCCCTGGGGGACAGTGACAAGTGGAGTAAATGAGACATCTGCACGTCCCTGCCCACGCTCACCTTCACAGAACTGGGACTGAATAAAAGCAGGTTCATCTTGGGACTGAGGGAAGGATAGAGAGAGACAGTTAGAGCCCTGCTCTGGCCTCTTGTCTCCTGCTCCTTGGCATGCTGAGTACCAGCTTACTGCAGACTTCCTATTTCAGAGCCCTAAGGGGAAGGGGCCCTTTCCAGAGCCAGGGAGTGAAAACTTACAGGGAATTATTAGAGGAGGGGGGTGTTCAGTGTTTCTACTCGTTTCTAGAACCGTTTGTGAAATGCCACACGCCCTGCCCCAGCATGAGCATGCGTTCCTGGGATGGGCTGGAGTTTTGCACAGCCGACAGCTCTGAGTTCTTGGGGCGGGGCGGGGGCAGCAAGGCCAGCGGCATTGTGGGTAAGTGCTGGCCAGACACTAAACTTTCCACCTTGGCCAGTGAGAGTATGGAAGGCTCCTGGCCTTGGGGTTTGGTAGCAGAGAAGTTAGAGGGTGGGTGTTGGCAATCCAAAGATCATACATACTTACTGTGCAAATTGGCATTTGGGTCCCTCAGGGCAGAAGCCAGCTAAGTAGTTGATACACATCACTCTGTGAACATGGCGGTATTTGCACAGGGGACCTGCTGGGGAAAGAGGAAACAACCAGAAGATCTGCTCTAGGATGAGGAGAAACACGTGAAAAAGTCCACGGGGAAGGGTATGGACGGTCAGACCTTACCCGTTGCTGTCAACTCATAGCAACCCTATAGGACAGAGTAGAACTGCCCCTAGGGTTTCCAAGACTGTAAATCTTTTACAGAAGCACATTGCCCCATCTTTCTCCCGTGGAGCGGCTGGTGGGTTCCAACTGCCGACCTTTCAGATAGCAGCCAAGAACTTACCCACTGTGCCATCAGGGTTCATAGGCTACCACTTAATTAAATAAAATTTTCTTAAAAATCAGTTGCTGTCAAGTCAGTTCTGACTAATGGCAACCCTACTTGTGTCAGAGTAGAACTGTGCTCCACAGGGTTTTCAATGGCTGTGCTGTGATCTTTTAGAAGCAGGTCACCAGGCCTTTCTTCCCAGGTGCCTCTGGGTGAATTCAAACCACTAACCTTTTGTTTATACCACCCAAGGACTCCTTACCCACTTAAAAAACCAAACCCATTGCCATGGAGCTGATTCAGCTTCCTGCCCTTTCCATCCTGTCCTGCAGCACCACCTCCTAGCCACCTGACTCAGATGGGAAAGGGAACCTCGGAAGTGTCAGGGAGGTGTCAGCTGGCCAATCCTGATGTAGGCAGGAATGGAGGTGTCGCTCCAACATGCTCCATGGCTTGGAGGACCTATATCAGTGTGGACCATTGTTTGACTTATTTATTTATCTCTAGAAGGCATAGAAGGAACCCTGGTGATGCAATGGTTAAGCACTCAGCTGCTGACCGGAAAGTTGACAGTTCAAACCCACCCAGTGGCTCCGTGGGAGAAAGACCTGGCCATCTGCTCCCGTAAAGATTATAGCCTAGGAAACCCTATGGGGCAGTCCTACTCTGTCATATAGGATGGCTAAGAGTCAGAATCAACTTGACGGCACCCAGCAACAACAGAAGGTATACCAAAAACCAAACCCATTGCCATCGAGTCAATTCTGACTCATAGCGACTCTATAGGACTGAGTAGAACTGCCCCGTAGGGTTTCCAAGGCCGTAATCCTTACAGAAGCAAACTACCACATCTCTCTCCCACAGAGTGGCTGGTGGGTTTGAACCACTGACATTTCGGTTTGCAGTCAAGCGCTTAACCACTGCGCCACCGGGGCCCCTTAACAGATGGTCTAGTTGAGAAAAAGCTCCCTCACTTACAGTCCTCCTTCAGCACCCCTTCCCCACCCCGACACCAGCACTGCGAATAGCTCAGTAAGAACAACGCACTTGAAGACTCAGGAGAGGACAGGCCAGGGTGCCTACAGCACAGGGGTTCTGACGAGGGACCACCCCTGCATGTGGCTGGCAGTAACGGGGCAGGCAGAATGTGTAAGCGAAACTCAGGGCACGCCCAGACGAGTCAGAGGAATGGAGAAGAGAGGAGCTGAGTGTCGACCCTTGTCGCAGCGGCGACGGTTGTCGGGGTGGCGGAGACAGTAACCAATGTCACAACTCTTACAGAGAAGTGGGGCCAGGAGGGTCACTCTGAGGAGTTGAACCTCGGCTTCAGTCCCAGGAGTTTATTTTATAGTCAATACAGCAAACAGTGAAGCAAATAACAGAACAATGGGCTTTGGGTGAGTAACAATAAGTTTCGGGCAAGGGAGGAGGAATTCAGGTAAACAAGCCAATCAGTAATGGGTTTGGAAAAACAAGTCTCAACATGTTGGGGACAAGTCTCAACATGTTGTGCAGCATAGAGGACTTTATACACCCATATTTTAATGGCACATATCCCCACAGACCCTGGGTAGACCCTATGCTTCATAGGGACTCTCCATCTGATTCCCCAGCAGCTCACTGAGGCGGGGCATTTCCCTGATGTCCTAAGTGAGGAAACCAGCTCACAGCAGTGAGGTCATTTGTTCAAGGTCACACAGCCAATCCGCACTGAGCTAGGATTCGAACCCACGTAATCCTGTGCCAAAGAGCCCATCTTGCCCTACAGCAGGCTGCCTTGCACCGTATCACAGCATTTTTTTTTTCCATTGGAGCATGAGCCTTGGGGGACCACAGAAAGGCTGTCTGTTGGGATTTCAACTCAGGGGGCAGACCCAACAGATCCTCATCAGGAAAACTCCCTCCCCTGCCAGGAGCCCCCAACCCTGATCACCTGTACCCCCGATGCACCCTTCCAGCCAAGTCCTCACCGTTCTTGCAGAAACCTTGATCATACCAAGGACAGTCTCGGGTCTTGGAAGCTGGCTTCACATGGAGGAAGGGACACTCCTTATTATTGCAATCACCTGAAATGACACCATTCTTTGTTCATAAGGGGGCTTATTTGTGTGTGTGTATGTGTGTTAAAATATACAGTGAAACCTGTGAGAGCCGAACTCGATGGGACTGCCTTGTTTTTCTGGGTCTCTCGAGTTTTCCGCCTTTAGGGTGCAATCTTATTACTTTCCTGCCACTCTCTGTTAAGGATCCTACCTTGTTTTAGTGAGTGGGTTTTCCTTCTCTGACAGGTTGCTGCCTTATACAGGTTCCGGCTTTCGCAGTTTTTACTGTGCATCACCAAAAATTTGCTGTTTTGACCAGTCTTCAGTGTACAATTCAGTGACATAAGTAGGCTCATCTTTATGGCACTTTCCCCCGCCCGCCACAAACTGGATTAGCCCCTCACATCTAAGCCGCTTGCTTTCCTACTGGTCTTCAGCAGCTTTTTGAAAACAGCAAGGTCATTATAACCCTTCCTGCAATCTAAGAAGGACGGATCCTGGTAATACTGTGCTAAGCAGGGCATGGGTATGAATACACACATCTGGAAGAGTTGGGGCAGGGCCAGATATCCAGAAGGGACTGGAATAGAAGGCGGTGGAGGCTACCAGAGATAAGGCGACAAGGAGAGACCGGGGAGACCTGGAGCTGGCAGCTAGAGACCCAAGAAGAGATCAGACACTGAGTGGAGATATTACCGGGTGCTCTCATTCAAGCCCTCTCCTCGTCTCTTCTGTGGAAGCGACACCACTTCCAGAGCCTGAGGGAGCAGTTCTGGCTGGTCGAAATGCCAAGAAGAACAGGGCACTTACTTCAAGGTTGGCACAAGGATAAAAACAGGTACTACAGAGGGACACCTGTGGTTACCCTCAGCCTCTGCTGTAATCTGTCTATGGATCAGACCAAGACTCTTGTTGAGCTTGTCTGCAGGAGCCAGCCCTGTGGGCACAGGTTTCTTAGAAGGGGTTGTAAGAGCCCTCTGATTTCCCAGAGTTAAGGACCCACGGCTCTAAAGGAGGCGTGGGAGAAGATCCAGGCCACTTTTCACCTCACTCAGGTAGAGAATTTGTGACTATTCCCGATTTTATCTTCCTTACATTTCAATAATTCAGTGCTTTTCAGAGCTGAAAGGAACTTCGTAAAATATCTGCTTGAGTGGTTTTCAGACTACTCCAAAGAGACCTATTTTATGCACTGAGCTTCTGTAAAGCAAGGTTTCATCTGAAGAACAGAACCACTGCTTCCTAAGAGTTTAAAACCGCTGTTCCCTTCCAGCCTTCTCGTTTCACAAATGAAGACCCAGGTGCTCCGAGAGGGGAGATGCTCAGAGGGGAGATGTCTCCATCTGTTTTCACCCTGGCTTCCTCAGACTGTTGAAGGGTCGGATTGCTCATCACCAGTGAACAACACTTGATGGAGTGCTAACTCTGGGCTTGAGCCTTCTAGGAAATCAAAGGACATCACCCCCCGGGGGCTAGGTCAACATTTGATAGATGGAGATGAGAAGTCTGCTGTGCAGTGGGGTTGCTTGTCTGCCCTAGACTGGATGCACGTGTCAGCATTCTCCCACGGCCAGCAGGTGGCACCAGCTCTTCACCCTGCAGTCCTCCTCTTGCAGAGACGCCCAAATACTGCTTTCAAGAGCACGTCCCAGGAACAGCACGAAATACCGTGGACTTCCTAGCCTCCTTTCAACTGCCCTTTCCCACTCCCATACTCCCAGCAATACTTTTTTTTTTTAATAAAGCACTTTACTGCCAATAAGAGTAGACCTGTCCTCCATAGGGTTTTCAATGGCTGATTTTTCAGAAGATCACCAGATCTTTTTTCCAAGGCACGTCTAGGAGGACTCAAACCACCAGCCTTTTGGTTAGCAGCCAAGCACTTTAATCCTTTGCACCATCCAGGGATGCCAATAAGAATGATACTGAGTAGCATCTAGGGTCTTAAAAGCTTGTGGGCCGCTATCTAAGATACTCCATTGGTCCCACCCCGTCTGGAGCAAGGAAGAATGAAGAATACCAAAGACACAAGGGAAAGATTAGTCCAAAGGACTAATGGACCACAACTACCACAGCCTCCACCAGACTGAGTCCAGCACAACTAGATGGTACCCAGCTACCGCTACTGACTGCGCTGACAAGGATCACAATAGAGAGTCCCAGACAGAGCTGGAGATACATGTAGAACAAAATTCCAACTCACAAAAAAAGACTAGACTTACTGGTCTGATAGAGATTGGAGAAACCCCAAGAGTATGGCCCCCGGCCACCATTTTAACTTAGTGTTGAAGTCACTCCCGAGGTTCACCCTTCAACCAAAGATTAGACAGGCCCATAAAACAAATAGTAATACACATGGCTCAACCATGTATATGAGACTAAATGGGCACACCAGCCCAGGAACAAGAAAGAGAAGGCAGGAGGGGACAGGAAAGCTAGATGAATAGAAATGGGGAACCCCAGGTCAAGAAGTGGAGAGTGTTGACACGTCATGGGGTTGGCAACCAATGTCACAAAACAATACATATATTAATTGCTTAATGAGAAACTAATTTGCTCTGTAAACCTTCACCTAAAGCACGATTTTAAAAAAAGCAGAAAAAGAATGATACTGACTTTGATATATTGGAAAGAGATATTCATTCATATGTTCTAAGGACAAAAACATAGACTATGTGTTGTAATCATGGGTTTATGCTAATCTGAGTAATTTCAGGGCAGAAGGGAGCTTGGTCCGATTCCTGTTTCCATGCCCAGCACAGTACCCAATGCCCAAATGCAAAGCAACCAAGGTTTATTAAAGGAGTAAAGAAGTGGCCGAGTTTTAAGCAATGAGCAAGGGGAGCTGGTCTCCAGATAAACTTGTCTTTTCTTTAAAGGAAAACGCAGGCGGTTCGTGAACTGCCAGGAGGGCCCTCACCTCCAAGGAACAGGCAGGAAACAGATTTTTGACCTGGGAGGTGCTCATGCTGGCTTAGAGGATGCTTTGGCTTCTTCCCACATACCTGGGACCCACCCCACCTGCTTGTAACCACTAAGGAGGGGCAGCTGCCTGCGGGCCCCTGAAGCAGCTCCAGCCACATTTTGAAGCTGCGCCTCCTGAGTCAATGGCATCATGGGGGATTTTCCCTGCTGTCTCCCTCCAGGCCACACTTTCCAGAACACAAAACTGCTGGATGAGATCATCCTTAAGGCTTCTTCCAGCTCCAAGAAGCACTGAGCTATAGAGTTTCGTTGGGGAGGAAGAGATCTGAAACACATTCACAGGTTCCATTCTTGCGAGGTACCTCCAGGTGGACTCGAACTTCCAGTCTTGCAGTTAGCAACCGAGCACGTTAACCGTTTGCACCACCTAAGCCCTCTGATTCCATTCTTAAAGGAGGTGGAAATAGACCCTTGGATGACAAAAGAGGGGCTTGAGACCGGAAGGGAGGTGAGATGTCCAGCAGTTCCCAGAGTGTGGTACACAAGCTAATGTAGGGGTGGTACTTCTCAACCTCCTGGTTCTACATTTACAGTTACCTTTTGCTTCCGACAAACGATGCTAGTTTTCCATTGAGGGAAGCAATGTTAAGTTTTCATCTAGAATAAGAGTTAAAAATACCAAGTTGGTTGAAACAGCGTACAGTGGTACAGGTGGTTTGTGGGTGCACAGGTGGTTTGTGGGTGCACAGGTGGTTTGTGGGTACCACAATGTCAGCACATTGTAAGCGTGGGTCTCGGGGGCCCATATAAGATGCACGAAGCTGGGCCCTGGGCCTGAGAGATTGCCTGTTCGGGGTTCGCTTCTCCAGTCAGTGTGGGGTGATTAGCCGGCAGGGAACACTTCTGTCTTTGATTCCAACCCCACCCTCTCCTTCCCTTGGGGGTGACGGATGTGCCTGATCCTGTGGGGCAGGAATCGCAGAGCACAGGCCCATTCTTTCTGGGGGTTTGGAGAAGCAGGCCCCTGAGGCTCAGACTCGGCCTTGTCAGCCCCCTGGGGGCCCCCCATTTCCAGGCTGCCTACCCCACTACCTCGGGCCGAAGGGCCTTACCGAACTTGGAGTAGAAGTAGCACTCGGGCATCCTGGCCAGGTCGTACTGGTGCAGGAACTTGCACTGGTCGCCCTTCTTGCACAGCCCCCGCAGCCAGTGTTTGCACACCACCGTCTTCCCGCCGCTGTCATGCCGGAAGGGGCAGCGCTTACCTGGAGACACCAGAGCACCCGCTGGGAGGCCCCACTCCCCCTTTGAGGGGGTTCCCGGGAGCCCTCCTCTGTCCCCTCCCCAAGCTCCTAGTGGTGGTTGTAAGTCAGCCGCCGACTCATTGTGACCCCATGCACAACGGAGCGAAGTGCTGCCTAGTCCTGTGCCTTGGAAGTAGATTGCCAGGTCTTTCTTCCTAGTCCTCCTTAGTCTTAGACTATTCTGCATCACAGCAACACACAAGCCTCCGGTGACGAACGGTGGCTGCACATGAGCTGCCCTGGCTGAGAATGGAGTCCAGGTCTCCAGCACGGAAGGTGAGACTCTACCACTGAACCAATGCCTCCTGAGCCCCCGGTAGGGGCTGGAACTGGGGGCTGGAGGCGGCATGAAGAACATGCTGTATTCTTAGACAGCTGTTCCCACCACACCTTTGCCCAGACATTTCTCCCTGCCCACATGCACCTCATCAGCAAGTCCCACCTGTCCCTTCTCTGAGTGG